ATGTACATGCATATATATACATATATATATATATAATTTTATATATATATATATATATATATATATCAAGTATGTGTATAGTAAGCCTGCTTTGATGTATGAAAATGTCAAAATAAAAATATATACCGAGTTAGAAGGTAACAGACTCCTTCCAATTATCACGAATATCGCTTGTCAAGGTTAGCTTGAATATTGTGAAGTGCTATGGGAAACACACCATCTGAATTTGACCAACTAAAAACATATTCATTGCGTTTCTATGGATGTCATTAGTAGCTTGTAGCCAAATTATTATACAATTTGAACAACCGGTCACCTGCGCTCGCATATTGAACGTCGTAGACGTTATATCACAAAACATACACGAAAATGACAAAAAGACTATAACACACGACTAACACGATAACACACATGGACAAAACACATATGTGCGTATCGTTTGTAAATAACTAGCAGCACACTCAATAACACAAGTGTTTGTTTACCTTTGTACTGCAAGTAGGTTCAATACAATGTCTCAGATATACAGGGTGTTTCTGCAGAGAGAGTTCCTTCTGGCGTGACTCTTGCAAATAGTGTTCCACTGTTAGAGCAGCAATATGCGTCAGGAGTCTCAGGACTTCAGAGGTGTCCATGTGAATCAGTGACTGGTGATACCAAGTTATTACTAACCACGTTCTACGTTTTGATGTATGAAATCAATTCTTTTCTCGTTTGCGTTAAATTTTAGTGATGGTTGGATCCTGTATATTCAATAGGGGTGCAATATCTGGGGTTTTAGGTGCAATGTATAGGAACTATTCCCTGCTATAGTCCAACTATTTTTATTATAGGTTTAAGACTCTTCCCCACGGTTACGTTATACCGGTTGAAAATTTGTAAACGTTCTTCGTTTACTTTTAACGTGTACATTTCCCGTTTTTTATTTTGGCGAGAAAATCTTGGCAAGTGCTGACCCAGAGTCCCAGCCTCATCCCAGGGCCCCAGGCTTTATAGTTCACACATAGCCTCCTGCCGTTTTTTGGGAGGCGATGCTTTGCAAGGCCCCTAATTTGACCTTCTGATTTTATATATTCCCCATCTCCTCCAGAAAGAAAGTCTCATTTTGTTTTTAGTTGTTTGCCCTTTATGGAGCCAAACAAAATGCCATGGACACGAACAATGGTTTTTATTGGAGTTCAACTTAAATATCGCCCGCCATTGTGATTCGCCTCTGATCTTCTTTTATTGTTTTTTTTCTTTATTTTTAAACAAGGGGCCGAGATGCTAAAATTATAAATTTGAAACTCAAATGATTTCAATTTCGGAAATCTGCACTTCTGCAGCGTTCCATTTCCTCACAGGAATTCTCGCAAATCGCAATGAGTGCAATGGCAATTCCAACAAAAAGATTAAAGGGAAAAACTAGCTCTGGGAGTCTGGGACATAGCGTTTAATCTTGAAGCTGTGTATCTCTGACAAGATCACTGAATGTCACAAGATCATCAGTGCCACTATATTTACAGAATACAACCAAGGCCCGTTTTGAGGCACAAAAGTCTAGAGATGTCACTTCGGTGACGTCATTGGTAAGATTCCTGAATTCAGCCAATATCTTGGGAGAGCTATACTCGATGTACACAGTTTCGACACGACAAGTGCCCGATCTCAAGGTATTCGTTACCAACATTGCCAATTACCGCGTTTGTTTATCATGTGCGGAACAGTGTTGTAGAGTTACAAAATGTCAAACTGCCATATGTTGTACTAAAGTATGCGATTGAACAATTAGTTGAAAAGCGAAGTTTGGAATGCTGGATTATTCAATTACGTAGAGATATTGAACAGGTTACTAAATACAAGCATATCTACGCTAACAATAAACCGGATATAATACTGGGTATACAACTTCCACTAAGTTTACAAAATGTCTATTCAGGCACCGAGGAAAGCCATTGCGTGCGTGCTCTATGCGACTGCCCTATGCGCTGCACAGACTATCTCTAGTTTTGATATCGGGCTGCGTACTCTAATTATATCCAGTGATTCCCAGCTGCAAGTATTGCCTGAAGAGATCATCAAAAGCTACGGAGCTGCCTACGACATTGTTACACTCGATGCACAAGGTGGTCTGGCATTAGATTTGATAGACCCGGCAACCTCGAACCCCAGGTACAACTCAATTGTCCAGACGTCTGCCACACTTGGGTACTTCAACAATGGTGCTTGGGTAGGGAATGCACTGGGTGCCAATAAGGCAGTCCTCGATGACTACTGCGCCAAGTATGGTGTAAGACGTGTTATGCTTAACAGCGCACCGTATGATGTTGCAGATAGTGCAATCACTGAGCTAGTGGGTAGAGAAAGCACTGCCGAAACCAGTGTCTCGATCACCGCCGAAGCAGTGACGGCCCAACTACCGAATGTCGTGAAACCTGGGGTGGTTATTAAGGTCGGGAATGAGCACGAATTTTCAGGCAATACGTACTGGCTGAATCCAACCTACGTGAATCAGTCACTCAATTGGGACAACCATATAACAACATTCCTAGAGATGAAGTTCTTGGTTACAGCCAACGATGCGACGCAAATTCCTGAGATCGCTGGCAGCATCGGGACTGCAATCGGCGGTATAGTCCACAAAAATGTGGCAGCGAATAATACAGAAAGTATGTATTTCTTTTGCACGGCTAACAGTTTTGGGCTTCATGGACCTACACTGGCTCACGCTTGGTTCCCTTGGGTCACCAGAGGTTTGTTCATTGGTCAGCGCAAAGTCCTTCTGGACGCACAAATCGACGACTTCTACCTGGACACGCCCCAATATAACACCACACTTGATCGACAAGCCACCGATGGCGAGTATGACCCACCATTTGGCTACCGTATCACGGCCAACGATCTGAGTTTCCATGTGAATGAGCAAAACAGTATCAACGCTGCTAGTGCCCCTGGGTCTAACTTCAAGATACAGATAGCATTCAATGGCAAGGGTTACGGCGAGTTTGCGAACTACCAAACCAGTGGAGGAAATTATCTTCCCGATGTGAATCCGCAATCGATTCTGCAGTTCAACGAGTTCTACTGGCTCACTCATACCTGGAATCATATTGACATGTATTGCATCGAGTCTAAATGTCTGCCTGCATCCACATATATCGACCCGAACGTAGCGGCTTGCAACGATTGGGCTACCGGGGCTTGCAACTACAACGAGCCTATCTACCCCGCATCTGGCTTCACCCCATATGAATATAACTACTACGAACTGACGAAGAACATCAACTTTGCATCGACCGTACTGAATGTCGCTGCTTACCCCAACAGATGGTCTGGCAACTCAATAGTTACTCCTAGAATATCAGGACTGAATTACACAGAGTCCATAAGGTATGACTCATTATACATATTGCTCATTCGTGTGTAAACTGGTGTGGTCATAACAATGTGTAGTCTATTTTCTCGCTAGCAATACATCGTACAGTGTAGTCAACTAATACATCGTATCCAACGCATCCATCAGGGCCATGCTTCAAGCCGGTCTCCGATATGCCACAGGCGATAACTCGCGTACCGACCTCGAGCCAGAGAATTCATGGCACCCATTTAATCCCCAGGTTAAGGTAGGACCAGGCGGCGAACTACTATCGGCTGCAGAAGTTACTGCCTTTGAGAATCAGATGCAAGCAGCATATCAAGCGCAATCCATTCTCGTTATCCCAAGATTCGCGACCCGTGTGTACTTCGATGTGGCCACCAAGCTTCAATTACAGGTAAATAACTTTATTATTCGGCAATCCCGATCTTCCTTTTTTTAAACTAGATTGAAATGACATTTGACCTTTGTCCGAACTCCGAAGGTGAAAATAATTTATTTCGGTATGTTTACAATTCACAAATATCAATAACTATAGATGGAACACAATTCTTTCTATGGCCCAACCTGTTATGGGTACCAACAAACCGAAATCCCAGTTGCTGGTGGCTTCAAGTGCAATGTCAACACATTCAAATACCCACGTGATCTGACCACTGATGAAGTCTTTGCCGTGGAAGGGTTTGAAACGGCCCGAAATCTTTTGCTAATGCGAGCTGACCCCTACATGTTTCACCAGGTAGGCGTCCAGCTCAAGTTTCCCATGGCTGCTAATATTTGATGTTGTTATTTACATGTTACGTTGCCTCTTTCGTTCCGCTAATATTTAACCGCACATACACGGATAAATGCAATATTGATGTACATACATTGGCTTTGTTCTATAGCACAACATGTGTACTGTACGTTAATATTCACCTGTAATTCCATATTATTTCTAGGTAAATCTCCGTGTGGACAACGGTCAAAGTCTTCTCGGTCACTGGCTCCGGGCAGTAACATCGTGGATCAATTTATACACTTCCTTTCCCATCATAACACTTAAAATGGACGATCTGGCGCAGTACTTTATTGACCGCAAAACAAGAGACGAGTGTGGAGTCGAGGCCTCCGTTCGTTATGCAGCCGGCAAGCCTTCGAGTCTTTCCGTGTCTTCACAGGGCTCGTGTACAGCCAGGTTTACACACACCACCACGGCCGGTTCAGCAGAGACCAAGCCTATGATTGGTGGTGGTGTTGCATATGGCAGTGACACAAACTACGACATTGCTATGTCGCCAGGAACTGCTATGGTGTTGCCACTTGGGCCTTGAATGAGGTTTTGAAGACGACTCTGCAAAACTCGAATATGAATTCTTTTAACTTTAAGTCAGAGTAACATGTATGCCTCTCTACAACAACCTGTTCAGTAAAGAGTTTGTATAAGTAAATAAAAAACTTTCATTGTCTATATATCTGGAGAAAACACGTCGCAATCACGACAAGTAGATGACTCACATATAGATCATGCGAATACACTATGCGAAAACTGAGAGAAGATAGCTAAAAATTGAATGATCGTTCAGGTATCTGTGATACGTATGTGGGTGAGATTTTTATAGTGTACACACTATAATTTTTAAAGTTGTCCGTTCAAAACTGATGCAAAGCATTCGAATACGTGCCGAACTGCGACTAATCCATGCAATGCATGACATTATATAAAAAACGCATTGAGAGCTCCACTATATTTGTACACAATTTCATACTCCACAACAAAAGGATGTTAAGCGTGTCTATGAACTATTAATCTATCTCTGGAGGTGTATACATGTCGTCCGTCAATGCATACCGTGAACACATTTATACACGTTCAAGGGCCTCCGCCTGAAGCCAGATGCTACTCGACGTACTTACAAAATTGATTGGACAATAAAAATAGGACACTGATTTCACAGATAAGCCCCGCGAACTTTTGAAAAAAAGTGGGGGGTGTTTCCAGTTTTCGACAATTTGTGGTTTGTTCGTACTTGCTAGTTCGTAGCTCGTAAAGCAGAGAGGAAATGAGGACAAATGGTCGTTTACCAGCACTGTTGACTGGTATTTGCATGTCAATACGTACTTACTTGTCACTCTAATTACTAATTAACCTCGCATCCTTAAGGTCGATACCATTATAGCTGTGTTGTCGTGCAACAACCCTATGTGTTATATATATGAATGCACCACCCCAGGCGCTTTTAGATGCAGACTAGAAATCGACTGTCGGAAACACATGACAGCTGCAATAGTCTTTGTAGTCTTCTCACCGGACATTTGCACTCGATCAGTCTTTTTCTCAAAGGAACCCTTCACATACCTCTGACCTAGATAACATACCAGACCGTTGTTCATATTACAAATACCGCAGCAATCAAGGGATCAAGTGTATAGTACACACTCTTGACGACAAACCCTTAAACACAACAACATTTATAGACGAAGTACTTTTCTGATAACTATATAGTGCAATAGGAAACACGCACAAACTGCCGTCTCAATTGAAGCAATCGATCATGTCGTCCTCCATCACTCCTGTGTCTGCCCAGACACCTCTGTCTACGCAAACAAAGCATACATCAATCAGTGGCTCACAATCAGGTGTGTTTAACTTAGAGTTGTATTTGCTGTTATCAAATAATGTTGGTGCAAGTACTAGTCTTAATACATAGATGCATGTTGCATAGCCTTGATTTGATCTACATGGTCTTGTATGTATTCTCCAGACATACTACGGATCGCAATAAAACGTAGGTGACAACCTGCTTGATATGAGGTAAATGTGCGCGCAGAATTGTGGTTATATATTAAAGTTCGAACTTGAAACTTGACCGAAAATAGTTAGATAAGGTATATTCAATATGTGATATTCACTAGATGCAATTTTAATGAATGTAGGCATGGTATCCAATGCAATATATGCATAAGGTGTTCGAACAATCGTTTTTGAAATGTATATTCAAGCGATACATACACATACACACACACATATACACACACACACACATTAAGACACTCACGCATACACACACATACACACTCATACACACACGCATGCACACACACACACATGCACAGTTATATAT